AGAATCACGTCCATGCTGGTAGACTTGATGATAGTGAGGGAGAGAAAGGGAGGACATGAAGGTGAGGAGGAGAGGTGGGAGGGAAGGGGAGAAGGTTGAAGTTGGGGAGGAGAGGAAGGTACACAGTAAGGGAGGAGAGGGGAGCGGAGGAGAGGAGAGGAGAGGAGAGGAGAGCTACCTGTTTGGGGGAGGATGGCATAGTAGATCCGGGAGGAAGGAGTCTGCGAGTGGAGGAAGAGGAGGAGAGAACCACTCGCTTCCTCGTGCTCAGCTACCGCGAGCTCATTTGGGGAGCGGTAAGTTCCAGAGGAGACGTCCCGACGAGCCTGAGGGAAGAAGTTGAGAAGAGGAGGAACGAAAAGGGCAGGGGGAGGAGAGGTTCATAGTAAGGGAGGAAAGAACAAAGGGAAGGCAACTCAGATGTAAGAATGTGTTGGACTAAGTAGGCAGGTGTTGAGAGGGAGAGGAGGCTGTAGAGAGGAAGAGGAAGAGTTGGAAGGGCGGAGCAAGGTGGTGGAGGATAGTGAGTAGGAAGGTGAGAAAAGGAGTTGATGAAAGGGGACAAAAGGCGATCTTGGAGGAGGAGGAGGAGGAGGAGGAGGAGGAGGTGGTGGTGGTGGTGGTGGTGGTGGAGGAGGACGACGAGGGGGAGGAGGGGGAGAGGAGGAGGAGGAGGAGGAGGAGGTGGCGGTGGAGTCCTGCCTGCTATGCGGCCTTCTCGTCAGGAGCACTGAAGGTGACGCGCTTTGCGCTCTTCTCAAAGACGACATCCTGGAGCTGCGCGTTCAAGGATAAGAACCTTGACGTCTTCTCCCTCATCTTCGCGTCCAACAGCCTCTGCGCCTCTTCCTTCGCCATCCTCGCCGTGCTCAGCTTCTCCTCCGCTGCCGCAAGTTCCTTCTGGTAGAATGCCAGCCTCCTGTCGAGGTCCTCGGAGAGCGATCTGACAGGGCCGAAGAACATTAGGGGAGTCGATGTGAAGGTGAGAGGACAAGGGAAGGCAAGGAAAAGTGTCTGTTGTGGAGAAGACATCTAGCAGCAAGAGCAGGAGCAAGAGCAGGAGCTGGAGCAGGAGCAGGAGCTGGAGCAGGAGCAGGAGCAGGAGCAGGAGCAGGAGCAGGAGCAGGAGCAGGAGCTAGGACGAATACATAGGAGGTTCAAACCTTAATCGCATCTTCTCCTTCTGACGGTCGAGCACGAGGCTGAAGTCCTCGAGACCAGCAGAGGCAACGGAGTCCTCCGTCATCCTGTCAGCGAGAATGTCTGCTGAGACCTTCTCCTTCTCCTTCCTTGTAAGCAGCAGACGGTCTCTCACTGTGCTCGTCTGTGAAATCATCATCATGATCCTTCTCCTCATCGTTATCGTTGTCATCATCATCGTCGTCATCATCATCATCATCATCATCATCGTCATCATCATCATCATCATCATCATCATCATCATCATCGTCATCGTCGTCATCATCATCATCATCATCGTCATCGTCATCGTCATCGTCATCGTCATCGTCATCGTCATCGTCATCGTCCTTATCATCATCATCATCAGCAGCAGCAGCAGCACCACCACCACCACCACCATCACCACCATCGTTGTGCCATGTTTTTTCACCTCACTTCTTGCCCTCCGGTACTCTTCATTGCAATCGTTGGCCCTTGACATCAAGGGATGCCAGGTCAAACTCCCGCTCTTCTCCACTCCTTCTGCTCTCTTCCTCCTCCCCTCCTCCTCCTCCTCCTCAACAGCCTTCTTCTCCTCCTCGCTCAGGATCTTGGATAGCCCGAGCGGCAGCTCCTTCAACCCGTAGCCCTTGTGCATCACGTTGTCAAGAGTCCTGCAGACTGACAAACCTGTTACTCCATGACAACTTGACGGCGGATCATAATCCCTTCCATAATCTCCTCCCCTCTCCTCTCCTCTCCTCTCCTCTCCTCTCCTTCCCACTCCTCCCCTCGTCATCTTCCTTCTTTCCTCTCATCTCATCTCCCCTTCCATTTCTCCCTCCCACCCCCGGCGCGAGCTCTTTATCGATGCTCCCCCATCCCTAGCAACATCTCCTCCTGCCCTCCTCTGCCACCTTTGCCCAGGGACACGAGCGCGAGCTCCTGCAGCCACTCCCTCGTTGTCATCGCCCCGTTCATCACCAGCATGTCTGCCAGCCTCCAGTCGCCATCTTCACCTCCATCATGGACAGGACAAGGCAACTTGATCAAGCCCTTACCTACTAAGGCTTGTTCCAGCTGCTTCCTGTCCCTCGCCACATCAGACGCGTTCAGCATCTACCCCCTCGTCACAAGACGCAGCCTGTCACTTCACAGACCTTGCTTGTCCCGGACATGCCTGTCTTCAACTCTTGCAACTGACCTTCGTTCAACAATGCCCTCGTCTCCTGCCCCACACCGTGCTTCACTGCTCGTCCACGAACAAACACAAGCACAAGGCTCCTCTCAGTTCAACTCACATCTTGTGACAAGAGTGTAAACTCTACCCGGCAGCTCGCAGACGCCACCATCAGCTTGCATGGAACATCGCACATGCGCAAGTACAAGGTCCTGACGTGCTTGCTGTTGTGAAAGAAAGCAACTGACCGTGCATCAAGGTCGACCCGCATCATCACGACATCGTCGGCAAGGAAGGAGGAGCCGTGAGGGAACGTCACCTCGTCCCCTTTCGTTCCCATCGCTCCTGCCGACATGAGGTTCTTGGAGGAAGAGAGCGACGCCGGTTTCATCACGATCCTCCCGGGAGACCCCCGCACGCTATTCATGATCGCGACCAACCATGACGAAGGGTCTTCCGTCATGGCCGTGACGTCCTGCCCGACAAGCTTCTCGTTGCACATCCCCACCATCCATCCTCCCCCCACATCCCCTGCCCCACATGTGAGCACCCGCTGCCCGGCAACTCGCACCGCAAGGAAATGCACTCCCCACACCAACGATTCCTCTGTCCCGACGCTTTTCCATCTTCCTACATGCTTCTCCTTCAGTCGCACTTTTGATCCATGCTGGAGCTGCATAAAGGGGCATGCGTCACCCTTGACTTCCCATCGAATGCTGCGCTGCCGTCGTTGACTGTTCTCCTCCTCCTCGTGGTCCTGAGAGACAAGGGCGTCCTCATCATCAGAGCCATCCACGTCTTCTATGTCGAACTTAGCTTCCTCTCCCTCTTCTCCCTCCTCTCCCTCCTCTCCCTCCTCTCCCTCTTCTCCTCTGAGTTTCATGGCTTCGCTCTCCACGCCATGTTCCATGTCGATCCCGACAGTTGAGTTGTGCAGCCCGGCCGGGCTCGGACTCCCGGCGGGGGCCGGGCCCGGGCGGCGCCGGACCCGGGGCCCTCCGGGTGACGGTCAGTGTCACAGACTGAGTCTCCGTACGGTACCATGCGCCGGGGG